CAGCACCTCTCTGTGCTTTTCAAATTAACTTCAGAAATTTCATACTTTTCTTGTTGCACATGAAGAAGCCCCATGGCAGGCAGGATGCAAGATGTCTTCCTCCCAACAAAGTGTCTTACTTCCCCCCTAGTACTGGAGGAGGAAGGGATAAAGAGGGGAATGTCCCTGTCACTGGGCTGATACCATTTTGATTTTAAAACACTTTCTGGGTTCCTGGGTACCCTGTCTTCACATGTGTTTTGTGGGCCTCCTTCCTGCTTAAGCAAACATGCTGAGATTCTGCTGGGGCCAGTGCAGGCTGACCCAGAAGTGGCTGAGTGCATCACACAGGGTCTGGCTTTGGAGGGGTTCCCAGTAGTGTGACTGCCTGCAGGTGCAAGAGGGCTCCCTGCTTGGAATACACCATCACAGGCAGCCTGGGGGTAATGGGGGCCCCTGGAACAGCCACAGTAGGAGGGGGGCTCTGCATCTGCTCAGTGGATTGTCACATGTGGCTACAGCAACTTCAGGAGCAACAATACACCGAAGCTCCCCAACAGGGACAAGGTTCCACTGAAGAGAGGACAGTCATGCCCTCTCAGAGCGCTGGCCCTGGGAACTGCATTACAGGCAGCAAAGCTTGCCCACTCTGATTCTGGAATGCTGCAGACAACAGAAGGCTCTGTGCTTCTTCAGGGAGGGATATCTGTCTCCTTCTCTCCCGCACTCTCTCTGGCTATTTCCCTGGTTCTCTCCTCCATTCTCTCTTTCTGTCCTCCTCATCCCCTCCCTCTCCTCCTGAGCTCGTCAGTTGCATACTCTCCTCCTCTCTGCTCTCTTGCCCTCACCCAGTCCTTTCTAGCCTTGGGCATTTCTCCTGCGCTGTTCACCTTTGCCAACTGCACACTCACGACAGGGGCTGCCCCACCATCGTGCGCTCTCGTCCCCTGCCAGGACTCTTGCATGCGCCAGGCACGACCTCTGCTTGGCCTCCTCTGACTAAAGGTTATCAGCACAGCTTCTGATGCCCATCTCTAGTCTCCACCCACACAGCAGCCTACAGCTTCTGTCCAAATTGGTGCGACAGTGGAGCCTTAGGGCCACAGGTCATGGGAACACCAAGAGCTTGACTGGGGGGATTGATATGCTTGACATTTGCTTCCCTCGACCGTGATGAGATCGGGAGACAAAGAGGAAATTTGCTGAAAAGGAGGCAGGTGTCCCGGACTTGGAGCTGGAAGCAGATCAGTGATGAGTGAGTTCGGCCAAGGCACCCAACCTCTCTGTTCCTCTGTTTAGAACAATGAAGACCCATAGGACTATCGTGAGGTCTTAATAAACCAGGAAACCCCTTTGATGCAAATTAAAGGGTGTCAGCTATTAAGGCCCTCAGAGGTGCTCCTGGGGTTATCATCCACCTCACGGCCTGAAGGGGGGTGTAGGCAGTGATTGTCAAGGGGCAGCTCGTTCTTCCTGCTTCAGTGCCTGTTCCTAAGAATCTAGAACAGAGGAGCTCACTGGAGATGTGGGTCCAGTTCAGAGATGTCACACGAGTGGTGGGCATGTTAAGGATTTTGCACTTGAGGTCTGCTTTCTGGCAATCCATGATCCATATCTCCCACAGCAGAGTTGACAGTGACCCCAGAGGTAAGGTGATTTTTCTTTGCACCCCAAAAGACCAACACAGCCTCAGCACCCGGGGAGGACATCTAAAATGTACCCATGGGGGTCCTGGTTGAGTTTTATCTTCAGAATAGATTCTAGAGCATTATGACGAATTCTGAAATGTCTTTTAATTTGAGAAATGAAGTGAATGTTCTGGAATTGTTGCAGTGACAGATGAGGCTGCCTGGGCTGCATTCTGTGCCATGTGTATTGTGTGGCTCATGCTGCTTCATCCTGTGGGGCCATTACTATTAAGATGCCCGTTTTACAGATGAGTGAACTGAGACTTAGGGAGAGTAATAAGTTGTCCAAAGCCATTCAGTCTAATGCTTACTAGTGTAACCAGGGCCGTCTGACGCAGGAGCTGTGCACCTGCCCCTGCCACAGATCCTGAGGATGAACCCCAGTGCCATCACAGCTGAGGATGCTATGTGACTGCCATCAAGTCTCTCTTGATCCCAGTATTTAACTTGAGTCCCTGAAATAGAAAAATACTGATAAATTAAAATGGTTTATTTCAACTCGAGAATTTTATTCAATCGGTTTACTTCAACATCAAATTGACAATTGTTCTCATTACGGAATTTACACACACAAAAATATTCAGGTCAGAGTTATGGTGGCTGGCTGTTCTCATTTTCCTGTGACACAGACATTTTGTGCTAAAACTGGGGAAGTCCCTGGTAACACAGGACACGTTGTACACCCACGTCAGAGCTGCCTTTTCTCACTGTGGCTCCACTGTGGGAAAATTGAGTTGAAATTGACCAGGATCTAGATAAGGAGAAAGCGGGGAGAGGCTCCTCTTTGAAGGCTGAGGGTGTGACCCAGGATTGCTCCCAGGGCTAGGGACAGCGATGCCATCCCCCCCACCCTCCCGCCATTTAGCTCCAGCCCTTTGCACCAAGCACCTCCATTCTCCTGCTGGGACCCATCACTAACTCCAGGTTGCCATTTTCCCCCCCGTTTTGCTGTCTTTCAGCTACGATTGTCTCAGCACAATGGACTGAAGGTAAGTAGAGAAGAGACTATTGTGCCTTCCCTCTCCTCACACGGAGAACACGTGCTTCTGTTTGGACCCCAAATGGATCAATGGGAGGGGCGTGTACCAGGGAAGATTCTTGGCCAAAGAAACTGGGATTTCTGCCCCTGGCATCTGCTTCAGGCTTCACAGTACCTGATTGCCCACCCGCTCAAGGCCCCCTCCCAGGTCTTCCCGGCCCCCACACCCCTCCCCAGTCCTCCTCTCCAAGCCCCACACCCCTCCTCAGCCCCAGGCCCCCTCCACCCCGCTGCCCACACTCAGCCCGGCAGGGGATGCATCTCTCAGGGCCTGAGTCAGGGAAGGATGGAGTCTTCTTGGACCCCTGCAGTCTGGAGAGCTGAGGGGCTACTCTACCTTCAGCGTCAGCAGTGAGAGCACTGAGGAAGGGGGAAACTGCACGTGGAGGCTGGGTCAGAGGGAAGGGGATGGTGCTGACCTCGTGCTAAGGAGGCGCTGGGTTTGGGCTTTGTAGTTTATAAACATGAACACTCTGGACCCCTTGAGGTCCTCATTCACTGCTTTGGAGCCTGAGGCATCCCTGAGCAGTGTCCTGGAACCCTGCCCTCAGGCACTGACCCGTGATGAACTCTCCTTTGTCTGAGGGTTAGGACTCTCTTTTGGCTGTTTCTCAGGCCCGCCCTCAGAAGACATTCAGGGGAGCAGAAAAGTTGTGCTGACTGTGTGCTCACCAGTGTGCCAATGCTGTTGTTGAAAAAGATTGTTTTAGTGAGAGGGCATTCACTAATTTTATTTCCCACCAGTCAAAAACAAATGGTACTTTAAAATGGGTATGTGTCCCTTAAAAAGTTCTGAAAAGACTAAAACCATAAAGCCCATCTTGTCTATGGTGTCATCAGACTGGGAGTGTCAGTGACGGATTTTGTTTCTGAGGACAGGAAGGTAGGAAAATCAAGAATGATTCGGGCCCCACGCATGGCCTGCTGGGGCCTGGAGCTTCCCTTGAGACCCGGATTCCTTCTCTTCTGTTGTAGCGAATGTTGACTGTGGGGGCCACATCACAGATGGCAGTGGTCACATCGCCGCCTATGCTGGGAAAAACACCGAATGTGTCTGGGTCATTGAGAATGAGCCTCCAGTAAAAGTATCTCTGATCCTGTACTACTTTCAGTGAGTACTGAAGGTGTGCGGATCCCTTGCTGATGCCATTTTAGTTTCTAGGAAGGAGTTCATCTTAACTTCTCCTGGTTCACCCTCCACCTTTCCACCGTGGGCATCCAAAACACACTCCGACTCCATTTTCACTCTGTGAAATTTCAATACTGTTTTCTGGATGAAGTTTCGTCTCTTTGTCCTGGCTTGCAGATCCTTCATGATCTGGCTATTGGTCTCTGCTTCCTTCTGCTCACTTCTCCCTCTGGCCTCCTTCTCTGGGCTGAGCTATAATACACTGAGTTTTCTGGACACACCAGAGCTTAGCAGCTCCGTGTCTTCGCTCACACCGCCCCTCTGCCTGGAACGTACCCTTTCATTCCTGGCACACTCATCCACCCTCTGCTTCGGGTCCCTGCTTTGTATTTCATGGTTTAGCTCAAGGGAAACTGCCATAACAGCTAAAACCTATTTTCTGACTCTCTCCAGAGGTGAACAGCTCTTTGTCTCACTTGTGTCCCATGCAATACCCTGTGCAAAACTCCAGGTGAAGTTTAAAGCATATTACTCTTGCCTACGTCTCTGTTCTCTCTGGTAAAATAGGACTTTAGGGCCAGCCCGTGGCTCACTCGGGAGAGTGCGGTGCTGATAACACCAAGGCCATGGGTTCGGATCCCATATAGGGATGGCCGGTTAGCTCACTGGGTGAGCGTGGTGCTGACAACACCAAGTCAAGGGTTAAGATCCCCTTACCGGTCATCTTTTAAAAAATAAAAAAATAAAAAAAATAAAATAAAATAGGACTTTATCTTTGAATTTCAAGGAATATTTCTTCAAAGAATGAATAACGTGAAAATATCACAAAAGGCATATCCAATGCAGCAGTTACTACATCGCCATCCTAGGGCAGTCTCCACTGATTTTAACATTGGATCAACATTTTTATCAGTTTCAGAATGAACCCAACACAGCCCAAAATAGTGAATGAGACAGAGGACAGAATCTGTATGACTAAGGGCCCCGTCCCCTCCAAAGATGCTGTGGGGTGAGGTCCTCGCCTAGGTGATGTAGGTGACCTCTGGGATGAAAACATCTCAGTGATAGCTAACTCCAAAACAGAGCGTGCACCAACTCTTCAGACAGCCTGAGGATTCTGGAATGGAAATGTGGGAAAGCAAGGAGTTTGAGAAGAGGACCAGGGATGAAAGGGCCGGACATTTCCTGTGTCACCATTTCTCCAGGGGCTCTTCTGAGTGTTTCCCCATATTGTCCCTTTGTCCTTTCAAACTGATTGATTTTTAGATCTGATTTTTATGGGCATCAAGGAAGAACTGAGTGTGGGCCAAGAACAAAACTAGTGTAAAGGGAGCCGTGTGTGTGTCCTGGTGGGATGTCCTCTTGTGGTGTCATTATACCCTGGAGAGGCTCAAGCCCTGCCTCTGTGAGTGTGAGACGTGCTGGAGCCTAAGTGAGGATGAGGGGTGGGAGATCAGGTCTCAAAAAGCACAGGCAGGAGAAAGAAGCTCCCATGACTTTGGGCACCTCAAGTGCAGTGTGTCTCTCATTAAATTAAGGTGGAGGCACCTTCTCTTCTCTGAGTCAGGGAGGCCGAGCTCGGGGTGGGGGGCCATGCTGCCCCTCCTCCTGCTGAAGGTGTCCCTCCTCCTGCTGCCCCTCCTCCTGTTCCACCTTCTGTCCCATCACACTGTACCTGGGGCTTCTCCTGCTGGCACCAAGGTCATGGTTAAAAAATACATATGACTGTCAACACAGCTGATGTGGAGACTAAAATGTTGTGTTGGAATCCCAGAGCCACAGGCTGGGCTTCCCAGGAGACTCAGAAACCATGACACTTTGAAGCCACCTGCAGGTGGAGGGAAAGGCTTTCTGGGACGATGGGAAGGGTCTTGGAGTGACCTCTTTTCAGAAGAACTGAGACTTTCCTCCCCTTGTTCACAACTGGCCTTGCAGTTCTTGTTTTTGAGTCATTGGTGGAGGGAGGCTGTGGTCTAGATGGAGAATGATTTCAAACGCTGATTCCTGTCTTTCCCTCTGACCCAGGTTCGAAGGTGCTCCCCACGACTGTGAGAAAGAGTATGTGGAACTCCTGGATGGACCTCTGGGGTCTCCATCCCTTGGCAAGATTTGTGAATCCTACACTGAATTCTATTCATCTTCTTCCAACATCATGACCATCAAGTACTCCCGAATACCCAGCCAACCACCGACTCTATTTCACATGGGTTATGATCGTATCACTTATGGACGCTAGGGGCTGGCAGGGGGACTGCTGACGCTCTCTCCCCTACCCACGCCTGGCTGAGTGGCATGTTGGGCAGAGGTTCTACATGTCACTGTAAGATATGGTTGTGCCCAAGTCCTAGTGGACCACCACTGGGTGAGGGAGAGTAAACGGTACCCAGTGATTTTTCCAGAAACATACGTAGGTTCTATCCCATGATTTCTGCATAGCCACTTGTGTGGGGTCGGTAGACCAGATACAATAACTATTTTTGTTATTGTACCTGTCATCTTGATGATGGGGCATGTATTTCTTAGAATACACCATCTTTCTCTTTGTTGATCTTGTTATAATCTCTTTGGCACTTTTTAGTGTATTTATGCAAGATTTGTAGTTTATGTAGTATATAGCATACCAAATGTATAATGCACATATTCTATATATGAATAAGTATGCATATAGGTGAATGCATGTGTGCTTATTTATGTATACATATGTGTGTCTATGTGTGTGTGTGTGTGTGCATGTGTGTGTGTGTGTGTACATATATATAGAGAGAGAGAGAGAGAGAGAAGAAACTCGTGACCCATGGAGTAAGATTATAGTTTCATGCCCTACGAATCATTCAACATACATCACTGTTGAAATGTACGGTGCACATTCTCTATCCTAGAGGCTTATAATTCAGTTGGGGACTGAAAACAACTCACAGAAGAAGTCAAATAGAAAGCAGAAAGCAATGGCCCAGGACACCACCCTCAGGCAGTGGATGGCAGCTGTACACACCGTGAGGTCCTGGGGGGCTCCTCTCCATCTGAGTGATCTCACAAGGCTTCCCAGTGAAGTGGTGCTCAGGCCAGGCCTTTCAGTATGGGTAGGTTTGGAGAGGCCAGAGTAGGATGTGCTGAGCAGGAAGTACCATGTGAGAACACGTGGAGAGTCAACCAAGTGGGGGTGAATTTAGGGACAAGAAAACACAGAGAAAGGGGCTTCCTCCATAGTCCTTCCGAGTCCTTCAGGAATAGAAGGGCTCACACTGGGCCTGCACTGAGCATCTGAACACATTTCAGGCATGTTGCTAGATTGGCTGCCTCTTCCTTCAAGGTGGGTGAGGTCTGTCTGGAGGCTGATGAGAGCTTGACTCATTGTCTTGGTTCTGGATGGGCTCCTTTGGTTCCAGGAAACNTCTTTGGCACTTTTTAGTGTATTTATGCAAGATTTGTAGTTTATGTAGTATATAGCATACCGAATGTATAATACACATATTCTATATATGAATAAGTATGCATATAGGTGAATGCATGTGTGCTTATTTATGTATACATGTGTGTGTCTATGTGTGTGTGTGTGTGCATGTGTGTGTGTGTGTACATATATATATAGAGAGAGAGAGAGAGAGAAGAAACTCGTGACCCATGGAGTAAGATTATAGCTTCATGCCCTACGAATCATTCAACATACATCACTGTTGAAATGTACAGTGCACATTCTCTATCCTAGAGGCTTATAATTCAGTTGGGGACTGAAAACAACTCACAGAAGAAGTCAAATAGAAAGCAGAAAGCAATGGCCCAGGACACCACCCTCAGGCAGTGGATGGCAGCTGTACACACCGTGAGGTCCTGGGGGGCTCCTCTCCAGCTGAGTGATCTCACAAGGCTTCCCAGTGAAGTGGTGCTCAGGCCAGGCCTTTCAGTATGGGTAGGTTTGGAGAGGCCAGAGTAGGATGTGCTGAGCAGGAAGTACCATGTGAGAACACGTGGAGAGTCAACCAAGTGGGGGTGAATTTAGGGACAAGAAAACACAGAGAAAGGGGCTTCCTCCATAGTCCTTCCGAGTCCTTCAGGAATAGAAGAGCTCACACTGGGCCTGCACTGAGCGTCTGAACACATTTCAGGCACGTTGCTAGATTGGCTGCCTCTTCCTTCAAGGTGGGTGAGGTCTGTCTGGGGGCTGATGAGAGCTTGACTCATTGTCTTGGTTCTGGATGGGCTCCTTTGGTTCCAGGAAAC